ATATGGCTTGGAAAGTTAATCAAATTTGGTTTTTCTAGTGCTGTTAGGGACCTTTTTGAACCTTATTTATCTTCGAGGTGGCAAGTTCATTCTTATAATAATTTTCGTTCTGATACTTAATTAGCCTCATCCGGTGTTCCGCAAGGTTCAAATTTGGGTCCGTTGCTCTTCTTGCTATTCATCAATTATTTATGTGAAGATTTGCAGAGTGAGCGATAATGTTTTGCGGATGATTTGAAAATATATTCCGTTATCAATGATTTGAATGATTGTACTTTCCTTCAGACTCAATTGGACATCCACCAGCACTGGTGTGATACCAATAAGTTATTTCTTAATGTACCCAAATGTAAAATTGTGAGTTATTCTAGGAGGAAAACTACCTATCACTTTATTTACCTGTTAAATCTCTGGAGCGTTGTTCCGAAATTAAGGATTTAGGTGTGATTTTTGATTACATTTGGTGAACATTCTATACAGTTATATGGATTTGTTGTTAGAAACTGTAGACATTTCCATAACATAAGAACCATCAAGCTACTGTATTTTGATTTTGTGAGGTCTAAACTGAAGTATGCTTGCACTGTTGGACAATAAAGCTACTATCATCTATCTATATCCATTTCCGCTAGTATTCGTCTTACTCTGAACGGCAAACATCAAAATTGGATCGTCATTTTGTAGCGTGTGATGTGATTGCACGACTTCGTTCGATTTGTGATGTTCCTTGCAATGTTGTTCGTCAAAATGGTCGCGCTGCGGTTCGTCGCGTGGTTCAGTTCGCGATGTTGTTACATATCTGTACATGGCTTTAAGGAGACAGATATTTTTATGTACATACATTTCACACCGAGTATGACGTTAAGTTTGTAGAAGAAAGCATATTTACTAAATTACATTAATGTTAAGAGGAACAAACGGGCAAACATCCACGAGATGAATTTTTTACCTCTACAGCTGAGAAGAAATCAATTATGCCCCGGCGATATAAGAATTAGGGCTGTAGTTATTTAGGAATGAAATAACGAATAAACGATCACTCGTCTTCTAGAAATATGAATATATGTATTTCGTGAAATCAATTTTTAGCACCTTGTTCTCACGTAAATAGTATCAGGGCGTACGAAAATTGCCTTAATTGAAAAAAAAAATAACTCATACTATATACTTTTTCTCCAATCATATTCCTTATATTACACGACCACCTGTAAGGATGTCTATAGCCGACCAACAGTAAACCTAACAGAACGTAAGGAAGTTCATTCAGCTTCATCATGCGTATTCCAGACCCATAATATCAATTATTGTCAATTCAGTGCCTTTTTCCACTGATATTCATTCTACTCTACGGCCTTACGTCAAGATACAAAGATCTTCATATCCGACAATCAATAAAGATACTAAAAGACTCAGATGTATATACAAAGTCCATTTGCCCAGAATTGCGTGGGAAGTATAGAGTCAACCTACATGACTCCATTTTTTCAAGACGTAAGATATTTGTCAGAACTTCAAAAGAAACGAAAACGCCTGTAGCAAAAACATGTCATTGCGGATGTGCGTCTAGGTATGCTGATATGAATTAAGTAAGTTTTGCTAGTATCAGTATACCTAGTAGTGGTATGCATAAAATGAACGCATCGCCATTTTAGTTTTTTGAACACAATAAAAAATTTTATTCAATTTTCAAGATTCCTATTTCCTTCGTCATAACGCAATTAAGATTTGAATAGGGTTTTTACAAAGGCAAAGTAAAATAGATACGTGTATGGCTAGTCAGCCACCTTAAACAATTTTATAATATCTCTCAGATTAACTGACAGTCATTGACTCCTCGAGTAAACCGGATCTAGTCAGCGTATGAAACAAAAGAAGTCGGGAATACCACATTTTATGTTTACTGGTGGATCTCTCTGAAACTTAAACGTGTTAAGTTATGGGAGCATTAATCGAGAGACCACTGCTTTGCAATATATATATATATATATATATATATATATATATATATATATATATATATATATATATATATATATTCTATTAAATATTTTCTTGCTAAGACACTGGTATTGGACCTATATTATCATCCAAATTGTTTATGTATCACGATGAAGGCTGTAGCTGTTTTATCAGTAGGTACCTTATAGTAATTTATGCAATGTAAATATTTCTGTAAAATAAGTCACAGATTAGCTAGGAAACGTGCAGAGAAAAACCTTCATCAGTAAAATAATATAATTATGAAACGAAATGATAACAATATTGCTGCCCAACATGTAACAGAAATCATGTAATTATCATCATGACCAGATGATGAACCATAACTCTACCATGACGCAAAATTACAGATGTTAGTTATCCATATAATAAGCTAATGTGATCCTAGACCAAACAGTCCACAGTTTTTGTCGAACTGTTAGAAAAAATATACATATGTATGTATGCATGTAAATTACATTGACGCTATTCTATGAATAACTGTAATATGTATAGGTAACGATTGTGCAAAATTTCGATAAAGGTAAATGAACTGATTCATGCAATAGGTATGTATTCTTGTGTATTCTATTATACTTAGTTTTCGCCTACGGGTTTCCGATAAGAGTGACACGTTTTTTTTATCTACGCTATTATTAGGCTAGTGGTATATAAAATTATTGATTATTGACTTGAATTTGCAAAGCAGAAGCGTCAGAGTGAAAATGCAAACAGTTAAAGTATAAACATATAGGTTTTCCATGTTGAAGAAGACTGACCGAAATACGCAACACCCAAGTACCCAAAATCTTACATAGTCGATTGAATGATAACCACAGTGCATTATAGTGTCTCGTCGTCAGGTTTTTTATTGACATTTCTGTTAAAATGATGCCAGAAAATCTAATCTTGAACTAGATGACACCGCGACGCCATGGCGACGTCGCGTCAGCAGCACCTGTAGTCAAACTAAAATATTTAAAAAAGATTTTGGCGCCCGTTGCCACTAGTCGCCACGTCATGGAGCTGCCATCCATGTCAACAGGTGGTTAGTTTCGTTACGGATGCTGGCGAAATCGTCATGGAGTCCCCATGAAGGAAAGCTTTATCGTATAATGATAACAGCTGTGGTGATAACATTTAGAAAAGTTTTTACTCACAACAATTATGACATTTGATGATGATAGCGCACAAGGAAGACGATAACGCAAAGCAACGAAAGGCATGAGAAGTGCATTTTTTAATCAGGTTCCGCCTATGATAAGCAATCTTAGCTGTGGCTGTGGACTCTGGATTAAACATAACTTGGAAGCTACAATAGTGCACTTAGGTGTAAAATAAATGCATCACACTGAATTTTATAAATTTTGGAATGCCATAACGTTTTTAATCTCAACAATATTTTGACGGTTCGATAGATGGTAGTTGCACTCATAATCTTTGATTATTCGCATGTACGAGTATAATATCTTGATAACAGTCACTGTCTCTCTTGTACACGGTAGTGTTTCATTACTCTATATTTGAGACACTCTGCGTTGTAACTTCATCAATCAATTAGACCGCAATGCTTTCCATTCCCAAGACTTAAATTTTCTCATGCCACTATATACCCATAGTGCATAAGTTGAATGGACGTTTTACCAGCAATTTGCATTTGTCCTTTTTATTCTAGTCTAGGAAGAAATCACCAAATTGAGTAGAAATCTACTCCTTCTGTGGAACATTCAAATTGTTCTGTATCCTCTCTATTATTCCTCTACTGAGTCGATAAAAAAGAAAATTATTGTCCTAATTTTAGAACAAGTCATATAATAATTCCAATATTTAATCTTTTGCAATACAGTTCCAGACTAATAAGCAAACTCGGTTCAAACAAATTCAAGGACGGATTACTTTGTTGGGCAGAATAAACCTATCAGCAACACTTCGAAGTTACATTCGTTAGATCGAATTCTGTACCCCAGAGCCAGACTAGGTTAAGTCAGTTTTTCTCAAAAATGAGTTTGATCTGTTAAGCTTATGACAATATTGTGAATTTTCATTTGCTACATGCAGCGACCATCATCTATCTGCAATAATAAGGAAGTTACGACTTTTTAACTCATGTCAAGTCGAATACAATACAATGCAAGAAAAATATTTCAAATAGAATTATCTCAAAACTACTTATTTGGACTTACCCTAGTCGGGCTCTGAGGTACAGAATTAGATATTGCTATTTTTTCACTGACGCATCCAGGAAAGCAGGAATACCTGAATACTGTCATAGCGCCTTTAATAAGGTGGCTACTGGACAAATGAAACAAACGCCTTATTAAGTAACAATGTGTTTTAGTGTGTAGCTTCTAAAATATATTTTATCGTAGGGTTTATAATTATTAATTGAAGTTTTATTAAATTCTACCGAACAGCCTTGCGAAGAACAAGGCTCCAAGGCCGATATCATAAATGTAAGTTAAACTAACGTTGTGATCAAAATATCTGCTTAGATTGCCCAAAGTATACTCGTACATAAAATAATATTTCGTTAAAATTAAAAATTCAATACAATGATATATTCTCATAATAAATACTATTCAAACATTACTTGAACAGTATCGTAAATCGGCATCGCATCTGTGTTCTTGAGTTCCTTAGTTGTTAGTGTGAGTAGAAGGAATTTGTCATTTGAGGTTATCAATAGTGATTGATACGATTTTTGAATGTTACCCTATGTAGAAAGGTCAGGAACACAATTAGAATATGAGAAGTCGAATTTTAGCGGGTTGGTCTAACAAGCGGCATTACAGAGCAATAGCTCAGAGGATCAAATTCTATTGGCATATCAGTATAGAAATTGTAGTCGAAGCGAGTATTACAGGCAGGGTCTCATCTAAGACTTCTACAAAATGGAAAGATAATTTAAAGGAAAAAAATCATCCACAAATAATAATTGGGATTATTTGTTTTTAATGGGTCACTAAGTAATAAATATAAACTAAATGCAAGTGACCTGAGCAGACAGTCAGGCGCACCGTCCTGCGCTGTGCATCGTAATTCTTTCGTCCAGAAGTTCTCCCGCTTATGAGGCAAGTAAAACACGTGTTCACTCCCGCACTGCCGCCAGTCCAGTTCCATCCTAGTCACATACCCTCTAAAAAATGGACGTAGCCGCATTTCATAAGCGAGAACCACTTCTGACCAATTAAATCCACACAACGTTCTGTAAAACGGTACTACACGGAACACGTTTCCTGTTCTGATGCAGGACTCCACTCCGGCAACTCACGTAGTACCTCTCTGATTGACTGGCGCTGTACATTTTTAAATACATGTATTTGGCCGGATTAAGATGGAGGAAGATAAGAAGATAGTAGCGAGTGAGACGGTGACATACGTCTTCGGTAGTGCCAACGATCAGGACATGATAAAGGATACAGCACCGACTCGTGGACTATTATGGCAGGTTGTACCCTGCACTTGCGGTAAGTGGTCTAGAGATCGTAAATGGATATTGTAAAGTATCAGTAGAAATCGCTTATTCGGATTGGACTTTGTCTCATCAGTGAATTATTCTGAACTTTCTTAGGCTGATACCGTTTTTTTTGAGTCGCGGTAGGATATTTCAATAAAAAAAATGATGTTTGGGACTTCTATTTATCACACTTAAGCGAAGTATGTATTTGATCGACATGCGCCTCGCAGATGTACCAAGCTACTTCGCCACAGGCAATCGGTATCGGTCGCCGTGACTGATTGTTCAGTCAAGTCATAACGTAATTGTCCGTTCCCCAAAAATAATGTTCTTTTTCAAATATAATTGGGACTTAGCATTATTTCTCAAAAAATACCATTTAGGATGTCTGATATGTCCGGATAAGTTTACCACTGCTCTAATTTATTAGATTTCACTAACAGGAGACAACAAGTTCGCAATGCTGGTGTCAGAATTAATATAACATATTACTGTCATCAACAGAAGCAATTGCTAACAACATGATTGCTAACAATAATTAACAATGATAAATGGCAGAGGAACCGAAAAAGTAGATTTTTTGGGCTGCAGTGCTACGGTTCATTTAATAAGAAAAAGGCAACTCAACTTGTAAACGACCCCGAATCGTCCGCTTGGTGTGTTTTCTAACTTTACCTTTTACTTTTGTTGATGAACTTTAATAATAACGTCGGTTTTGAGTCAGTAGTCATATCAAGCTGAAAACTGCAAGGATTGTTTGGCGCATTCCTCTTATCAGAGGAGGCAAGTTTACAAACATCATCGAGTTTCAACGTTTTTGTGTCAGAAGTTGTAAAAAACAATTTTATTTAATATCATTACGTAATCAGCTGCTCCTTGTTTGAAAAACGTTGTATTTTCATAAAATTAATTTTTGCAATCCTCGAAAATGGTTTTGTGGTCGATCTTGTCTGCTGATGAAATTGATCAAAACATATTTGAATTTAACTATTGACGGCGGTAAATTAGTTGCACTTGGAAGGACGTAAGCGTGTGGTGGTGACAAGGATACAGAAAATGTCTCTCATCAAGACCATACGTACGAAGTATGTAGTAGATAAATTTTATAGAGACTATTGTTCACTTTATGTGTATATTACTATAGAGCTTATAGTTTCGAGTTTTTCAAAGATTGATACCAATTTTTTTCAAAAAGACTACCACAATTTGGTTTTTTCAACAGATCTGGTGTGACCCCACTCAAAATCAATTCAAACCGTCTTAAAGGACAGATACCATAGTATGAACAAACTTTATCACCGCTTGTAACTCACACCCTAGTAATTCATGACTACTATAAACGTTGCGGATACGGAGCAATATGTTGAGAGGTTAAAGTATGCAATGCCTTTGAATTTCTGAGTAGCTACATATTAATAGGCCAGTAATAATTGTAAAAGCCTTTTAACAACAATATTGAATTCTTAACCATCAACTGAAGGAATATGCAGAAAACTTTAAATCGCTTCCCATTCATCAATCTGAATTTAGAGCTGGTCTTAGATGTGCCACCATACTACTGGACCTAACTAATGATATTTTTAGAAAAATTGATAAAGGAAATAATTCGGCTTCAATATTTTTAGATTATTCCAAATCCTTGGATACTATGAATCATGAAAGCAGTGTTACACTATATTGGATGTTCACTCGAAGCATTCTGCTGACCGAGATTATTCTTAAGCGATAGATATCAGTTTGTTGAAACAATCATAGGTAAATCAAGTTTGGGCCGTACCATAGAGGAGTCCCTCAAGGCTCCATACTCTCTCCACTTTTGTTCTCTATTTACATGTGTCAAATTACTAAATCCATCCACAATACCATAACATTTCAGTATGCAGACGATACACAAATAATAAAATTTGATATTATTGTAAGCAAATGAATCGTTTCGGTTCTTTTCGTTTATCTTGATTATTATGCATCGGATCCTAAAAACAAATCATTTGTCACAAATTAGTCTACTATTTTTGCAAAAAAAACATTTCCATAGTTAACCAGCAAAAAGTTACAGGGTCTAAAAGCAAAAATGACGATTTTTGTTAGTCATGTTTTATCGTTTTGTACAATTTCCATCATGAATATGAACTTTTTGGGGAATTATCTTTTATATTTTTGAACGCCAACTTAAATCTGTATAATTTAAAACAAAAATCAACTCGATACGATTATTGAGAGCTCATATTATGAACACATTGGAGTCTGCATTGCACATTACACCAATACTCTAAGTATCTAAATAAATAAATAAATAAATAAGTAAATAAATAAATTTACCCAAGAAATAATAGTTTCCTAGTTGGGTTTTCGATTTAATCTGAAAGAAAACTATTGACTAAACATAAAACTATATTTTCCATACAAGTTACACCTTTGAGGTTCTCTTACTTAAACAAATGCATGGTTTCGTATTTTTCGCTTGTGTTCGTTAGTATTCATCGGATATTGACTAATCAAAGAACAAAGTATTTCTCATAAATTGTTCTGTTATTCTTGTAGAATAGGTTTTTTCATATAAATAAACCAGAAAAAAGTTATAGGGTCAGAATGTAAAAATTATGTTTCTTTAGCCGTTTTTTATTGGTTTTTATCATTTCGACTGTCTACCATATCACGTCCTGAGGCTCATTTCATACGCTACAGAAATATCTATCCTGTCACAAAAACTTGACAATGCAAAGGCCAATTAATTCAGCTAGTAGCCTATGTGCTACGCCTACGCTTATATCTTCGCATAGAGCAAACTGTTTCATCTACTTATACAGTAATGGACATAAACTAGTTCTAAAGACAAGAATTGGATTGACGTTATAAATGATGTGACATAAAGACAGATAAAAAAATTACAAAGAAGTGAAAAAAGCCCATTTTCACAGCCGAAATGGAAAAAATAAAAAATGATGATAAGACTTTCCAACCCTCTAATTTTTTTCTGGCCAACTGTGGGATTCTATTTCTTGGAGAATTACTTCATTTATTATTAAATTGATTTGCTACCCCAAACCGACACGCTTATAATTGTTCGTGGATTAACGAACTCTCAATGATCGTAACGAGTTCAATTTTATTTATTTATACAGAATTCAGTCGGCTTCTAAAAATATATAGAAAAATGTCACAGAAAAGTCCATCTTCACAATCGAAATGGTAAGGAACGATAAAAAAAGGACTAACAAACTTTACGATTTTATTTGCCAACCATGTAACTTTTAGCTGATGAACTCTATGTGAAGAACACATTCTACATAAATAGTAGATTAATTTATGATGAAAATAAAAAACGACACATTTGTTTAAATAAAATAGCCTCAAGAAGTGTAATTTTTGAGGAAAATATAAATTTAGGCTCCTTCAATAGCCCTCTTTCAGATTCAAACAAAACTCAACTGCGCTACATTTTGCAAGGTGAAACTACCATTTGACTGGGGTCAATTCGCTAAGATGGGATCTAATCATTTTAGCAATACATCCTCCAATGCCATTGTTCAAATGAAGCTAATATAAATAAATTGATACCATATGGCAATTTTAATTGAGCTTCATTTCGATAGCTCGTAATTACGTAAGAACGTAAGTGATTTGCTGTAATAGTGAAATACAAAAGAGTGAAAATTGAGAGAACAAAACATGCAATTCATGAAGCTTTGTTAGGAGGTGTATAGTTCACTGGCGTATCCAGAAAAAGATCCTGGGAGGACCCAGGATACATGTTCAGGAAGATATCCACCTTGGGAGGGAGGTGGTATCGGCGATACCCTTGTGACAATTCAAGAGCGGGGGGCCTCGGCGAATGAAAATTGAAGAGCGGGGGTCCTGCATTAGTGCTTCTGAGAGCGATTGTACTTGTGAAAATTGAAGATCGAGGGCGGGCAGGGTGGCAACAACATATTAATGATCAATCTCGAATGGTTCAGGGATGGTACATGCTCTTACATTTCAGAAAAAGTGCATGCTGTATTCTATATAAGGTTAAAAACGCATTAGGCTGTGGAGCTCTGGATACGCCAATGGTATAATCCCTAATCATCCCTCTTATGTATATTATAAATAATCATTGTTCTACGTATTTTTGCTACTTCATAACAATGATTTTGTTAAAGACAAATGATAATTTTATAAACCATTCCTTAGTGATACGTGAAAGGGTTGTGTTTATCAAGTTTGTCGGCAGTTAACAGTTATTGACTCGCCCATTGGCAGCGCTAACGTTGCCTCGTCTCAGGTGGGAAAGATGTTGCTATCAGCAAATATTTTTTACATAACAAGAATACTTACATGACCAATGCATTCAAATGTATTAACATAATAGGATCATCATATCCATTGCTAATGATTATTTATCTGTGAAGGCATCAGACGTAAGTCGTTTTGCCACAAATATCTATGAAACTACAGCTTATATTCTCTCTCTCTCTCTCTCCTAAAAATTCTATCATTCCAGTAATTTTATTTTATAAAGGTGCGCTGAGTTTCCATGAATGACTTTTACTCTAGTTAATGCAGCAGCCCACTTTAATAGTTTGCCACTCCGAAGTTTGTCTTGTATAAGCTAAGTATCTGCCTTTAACTAGAGAAATGAGCTGATGATCTAAGCCTTGAAAGAGTGGAAAAATAACTAAGTAGATGTGAGAACAAAGGATTGTATATTCTTATGCATATGTTTTACTAGCTTTTCACCACGCGATTTTATCGCGACACGGTTAGATGACATCACTAATCAAATGACCAAATTTTCCAAGCGTGCAAGATAGCTGTCAATTTACTAAAGCCGCATACAGATCGAACATCCAACGCCGTGCAAACGATTGCAAGCACATGTGACGTTGGCGTTTGTTGTTGGAAGGTATTCGAATGCGCTCGTATACACCTTCCAGTTGGACCGCATTGGGTTAAGTTTGGTGCTAATATCGAGCGACAGATCTCCTCTCATCGAATGCAGACAGACGACTAAATACTAGAAGCGTGAGA